TTCCATCTTTTGAATTCCAATCACCAGTGATAATCAAACATCTTGATTGCTTGTTTCGTCAATTTCAGACTGCAGAAGTTTGTAACAATCTTCAATTTCCTCATCTTTGGCTTTGGTGGTTTGTGTGTAAGTTTGAATAATAGTAGTATTAACTGGTCTTCCTCATAGACATATGGGTATTATCCTATCACTGACAGCAATGTGCTTCAGGGCAGATCGTGACACATTCTTTGTAATAATGAATGCCACACCATTCTTCTTCAATTTATCACTCCCAACATAGAGACCATATAATCACCTGATTCAACATGGCCACAACCAGTTCATTTCAGCTCACTAATGCCTAAGATATTGATCTTTATGCTTTCCAGTTCATTTTTGATAACTTCCAATTTTCCTAGATTCATACTTTGTGCATTCCATGTTCTTATTATTAATAGATGTTTGTAGCTATTTCTTCTCATCTTGAGACATTCCACATCAGCAAATGGGGGTCCCAAAAGCTTTACCCTACCCTCATGATTAAGGTTGGCTCTACTCTAAGGAGGCAGCTCTTCTCCAGTAATATTTTCAGTGCCTTCTGACCTGAGGGGCTCATCTTCTGGCACTATATTGCACAATGTTTCAGGGCTATTCATAAAGTTTTCCAGTAATATATCAGACAGTGTGTACTGCTATTCATAAGATTTTCACTGGCTAATTCTTTGGGAAATTGATGGCCGCTTCCTTCTTCTGAGTTTCTCTCAGTCTGGAAGCTCCGCTGAAACCTGTCCACTACGGGTAACCCTTCTGGCATTTGAAACACCAGTGGCATAGCCTCCAGCCTCACAGCAACACTCCAGCCACCACAGTACAACAAACTGACAGAAAAGTCTATCTGCCCTAGCTGTTCTAAACTGCTTTGCTCCCTTCCTGGTCTTCCTGCTCTGCTCGATTACCAGGCCTACTATAAGAGATCTGCATAAATGGAAGAACAAGTCATGTTCATGGATACGTATATTGAATATTGTAAAAATGTCAACACTATCCAAAGCAATCTATACATTGAATGCAATCCTGCTCCAGATTCCATCACATTATTTAAGGACATGGAAAAACCAATCACTAAATTCATATGGAAAGGAAAAAGACCTCAGAAAGTACGGCTGAAGAAGAAGGAAACAAAGTAGGAGGTCTCACACTCCCAGATCTCAACATCTACTATACACCCACAGTAGTCAAACCAGTGTGGCACTAGTACAATGACAGACAAATAGACCAATGGAACAGAATTGAGAACCCAGAAGTAGACCCATCCATCTATGGACAGGTGATCTTGACAGAAGGCTGAAAACCATTAAAGGGGGGAAAGATAGCCTGTTTAACAAACAATGCTAGCAAAATTGGATATCCACTTGCAGAAAAGTGAAACAAGACCCATACCTCACCCCATACACAATTTTTGAACTCAGGTTGGATCAAAGACTTAAATGTAAAACTCTAAACTATAAAGATTATCAAAGACAAAATAGGGGAAAATCTAGGGGCCCTAATTTATGGCATAAACAGACTATCAAGCATACCCCAAAAGGCACAAGGAGCAGAAGAGAAACTAGAACTAGGACCTTTTAAAAATTAAATTCTTATGTGCATCGAAAGACTTGTCCAAAAGGGTAAAATGAGAATCTACAGATTGGGAAAAAAATATTTGGCTATGACATATCTGACAAGGGACTTACCTCTAAAATTTATAGAAAACTTTAACACCTTAACACCAAAAAGAGAAACAATCCGATTCAAAAATGGGCAAAGGATATGAACAGACACTTCACTAAAGGAAATAAACAGGAGGCCAAGAAACACATGAGGAAATGCTCACGATCATTAGCTATTAGAGAGATGCAAATCAAAACAACAATGAGATATCATCTCACCCCAGCAATAATAGGAAAGTTCAACAAGACAGAAAATAACTAATGCTGGTGAGGCTACGGAGAGATTGGAACTCTCATACACTGCTGGTGGGACTATAAAATGGTACAGCCACTGTGGAAAACAGTTGGGTGCTTCCTTAGAAGACTGAAAATAGAAATACCATTTGATCCAGCAATTTCATTACTAGGAATATACCCTAAGAAGGTGAGAGATGGGACATGAATAGACATATGCACACCCATGTTCACTGCAGCACAATTCACTACAGCAAGTAGATGGAAGCAACCCTAAATGCCCACTAAGAGATGAATGGATAATCAAACTAAGATACATTCACACAATGGGATACTATGCAATATTACAGAATAATGAAGAATACAGGAATCATCTCACAATTTGGAGGACATTATGCTGGGCGAATTAAGGACAAATATTCTATGAACTCATTATTGTAAACAGTTAAGGAAAGGATTATGCAGGGAAGGAAATTTACTTTGTTGGTTACTAGAGATAGAAGAGAAGGGGAGGGATATTTCAGAGTACTTGGGGGTCACATGTTGATTTGGGTGAGGGGAGGAGTGCTATGGAAAGAGTCTGTGGCCAGCATGGGGACAAGGGGGAAAGGGAGGACATAGAAATGTGCACAAAAGATATAGACAACAGAGGCAAATACTATTACATGCACAATACTACATTACCATTGGCTACCAAACACCAGGCTATGGGCAAATGAGGGAGCTCTAGTGGCATAGTGCCTAAGGCATTTGACTACTAACCAGAAGGCTGGTGGTTCAAACCCACCATCCACTCCTCAAAAGGAAGGTTGGGCAATCTACTTCTGTAGTGACACCACCTTGGAAACCCAAGAAGGGGTCATTGTGAGTCGGATCTGACTCGACGGCAGTGAGTGATGGGTTAAAAAATAGACAAGTGAAAAGATCAGGTGTGGGTAGGTGAACAGGAATGTACCCAAGACCAAGGATGGATCTGGTTGAAGACAGTCTTACAAATGTACTTGTGGTGCAAAATATCCACATACGTTACAGAAGTAACAGAGGACAAGGTTGCAGTAGCTTCTCAGAGACAATCAAACACCTTGAGGGAAAGAAACACCAGATTCTTCAGGCTCAGGTCCATAGTCTTGGCGGACATCATGCTGAACTGGCACAACATAATATATAAAAATCTTGTTCTACATCCTACCTTGCTGTGTAGCACCTGGGGTCTTAAAAGCTTTTGAGTGGCCATCTAAGATGCAACTATTGGTCTCCTCTCGTCTGGAGCAAAGAGTGAAGAAAAGCAAAGTCATTTGGAAATAATTAGTCCTCAGCTATGATGGACCATGAGGACCTCAGCCTTCATGACCAAAAGAACTAGATGGTGCCCAGCTACCAATGCCAACCACTCAGAAACGGATCAAAATTGGAGATTGTAGGTAGAGTGGAAGGAAAAATGTGAAACAAAATTTAAAACATAAAAATGACCAGAATTATTGGTTTGATAGAGACTGGTGGAATGCCTGAGACTATGACCCCAGGTTATCCTTCGGGCCTGGAAATGGACTCACTTATGTGGATTGGCTCTCAGCCCAAAAGTAGAAAGACCTACAAGCTGAACACCTACCCCAGGGAGAGACACCCAGCTACCCTAGGGAAATGCACCCCTTAGATCAATCAGCCATGAGACACTGGAGGGGCAGCATTCACACAGAGGGAACACTGGACAGACAGGAATGCATAGATAAGAAGGGTAAATGGAAGGGGCAGGAACAAGCAGGAGAGGGGAGGAGAGTGTTTTGTGGCTGGGGATTGTAATCGGGGCTGTGAGATCAAATAGGCAGGAACTGATGAATGTAAAACAAATCTGCTTTGGAAATTTGCATCCCAAGCACAGTTAAGTAAATAAATAACATGTGCAACATCTTGTCTCCACTCATTTCCACCACGTAAAACAGATGAGTCTATTTCCTGCCAGGTTGCTTTTCCATGTCCACTAAAACCTGTGAAAGCTGGAACCCGTTTAAGGTGGAGATCTGTCACCTGTCAGAGAAGGAAAACTCAAATACTTTCCACTGAACCAAGTGACAGAAAAATGGCAATGACGCAACCTGCGGAAGGCAGAAAACCTGTGAGACCCAGAAAAACAAGGCTGCCTGTTGAGTTTCAGCTCTCGCAGCTTTCACTGGGTATATGTTCAACTGGATGTATTTACATGTAGTGCCATACATGCACTTCAGCATATGCATATGACTACTGTTACTCGACTATTTATAATATTTCATGTTACCGAGCCTCAGTAAACTTTTAATATCAGATCATGATGCCACCGAGTGTGACACCTCCCAAGAGCTTCCCATTCTTAAAATGATTTCTGAACCGTTCCATTAGGAGCGACTCTTAGATTTCCTGCCCTGACCCACTTCCTCTCTGGATCTGGCCACAGCACCCTCCTTTCTGCTCATTAAGCATGTCACGACTTTGTTCTCAGTGAATCCTTTTTGAACACACTTTCCTTCTCCTTGCTTTCCTATGGCCTGTTCCTTGTCACCACTCAGAGCTCAGCTTGACTATTTTCAGATCCAAGGGCCTTCCCTCACTACATACATTCTTAATCATGGGCATAATTCTTAATCATGGTATCACTGTCAATCACAGACAGCACTCTTAACTATGGGCTCCTACTAAATGGTCAACATCATTCTTAACCATGGTATCATACTTGATTTACTTCACAGACCTTGTCAGCATTTGAAATCATTTCTGTTGAGTTGACTTAAAGTCATAATGGAAGATGACATATGCTGGCTATGCTGCTGTACCACCAACTTCATGAGTTCAAGGACTGTCTCTTTGCTTACCATTGTGTCCCAGCAGCTGAGATAGTGCCTGGCGAAGTACATGTTCAAGGACTATTGTTTTGAATGAACAAGTACCTCCACAGAAATCAACCACTGTGGAGTAAGGATGAACTGACAACCCAAAGTGCACTATTTCTGTAATTCTGTATGATGGGATGAAGCCACCCTGCCATGTTCCTGATGGGAACAGCAGTCCGAAAGAAGAATGGTGCCATGCACTGGAACATACCAAGGTTCAAGCTGAGGACCAGCTGGGCCTTCTTCAGCTCCAGAGTGATGTAATCTCCTTGCTGCCCTTCTCCGTGCAGGATGACCCCTTCGCTCTCCGAGGTTTTAAATTTCAGGGCAATGACGTCTTTCAGTGTTTTCATCTTCTTATTTCTGAATCTGTAGGGTAACACAGCATAGCCGTCGAAGTTGATGACGTCAGCCCCTAAAAGAAGCAATGGATAACAAGCTGGTCAGTCACTGCATGCCGACACCCAGAGGCACCCACTGTGGAGGGGTCTGCACAGCATACATGGCACAGAAGAAGTGCTTTCCCGGAGAAACCCAAGGCCTGGCTTCCTGCTCCACCTCTCCCTTTGGTTTACTACTTGTGTTGAAAAGGATTTTAGGGGAGTGTGATGACTAACTGAACTTCAGAAAACTCCTTAACGCTTGCTCCTAGACATCATGTGTCTCTAGTTCCCTGTGAGACCCTCACATTTGTAAAACTGGACTTCCTTATTCTTGGCAGCCTCATTATCAACAGGAGAGCCGAAGGGACAAACATCTAGGAGGTGCTGACTGTAGCAGTCAGTGTAGAGGATTACACTGACATAATGACTTACATGAACTTCTCAGAAGCACAGGGAATTTTTCACCATCCTCAGAGGCAGGTGATTGTGGGGACTAGTTCTGTCACTGCTACTTATTCCCACCAGAAATGGGAAATCAGATGACACATTTCATGAGGCACTGCTACGATACACCAAACAAAGGCCTGGCAATCCACCTCTGAAAAGGAGCCAATGAAAACGCTATGGACCCAAAAGAGCATCGTCTGAATGGGAGGCCACCAAGGCTGGGAAAGTGGAGAGCCACAAAGGGCGAAGGAGGCCCTCAATGACAAGGTCACAACTGCCACGCAGTTCAGTGGATCTGAACATGCAATTAGAACGATGTGGGGCCAGGAAACATTTCCTACTGTTGTGCACAAGGTCACTGTGAATCTGAGACTAACAATGATAGCATTGACCAATGAAGTCCCTATGCTAGGCAAGGTTACGTGTCAACTTGGCTGGGCCTAGTGGCACAGTGCCTAAGGCATCTGGCTGCTAACCAGAAGGTTCTAAACTACCAGCCACTCCATGGAAGGGAGACCGGGCAATCTACTTCCATAAAGAGTTACCACCTTGGAAACCCAATGGGGGTCACTATGAGTCAGAACTGACTCGATGGCAGTGAGTTTGGTTTTTTGTTTTTGGTTTTGAGTGGCCGGGCAGCTGGAAGTATTTATTCTCCATGATGTGACAGGTACTCAGCTCCTTGGTGGAATCTACTAGAGCAGTTGAGTAGCTGCCTTAGGAATGTGGTCTGCTTCCAGTATGTAAGAAGAAGTTTTGAGAAAGGTCTCTGAGCATTTTGGCATGCTTGGACCCTGCATATAGCTGAGTCTTCATTCAGCAGCCTGCCACGTTTCCTCCCAATCTTGGGACTTTCAGTGGACTTGAATTAATGCCCTGCTGTGTGGTTTGGTGGGACTGTGCCTTTTCACTTGTCAACCTTGCATTTGTCAGCCTCAGCAGCCAGAAGCTACCTGAGTGAAGAGACACCTCCAGCTCTGGTAGGCTGGGAGCAAGAGGCAGAGCTGAAGCCCAAGGCTGAAGAGCCTTCACCCAGCCCCTAGAGCTGGCATTTTGAACTCAGACTTCTAGCCTCCTAAATTGTAGGAGAATAAATTCCTGTTTGTTAAAACCATCCCATTTCTGGTATTCTTCTGTTAGAGAGGGACTAGAGAACCAAAACAGTTCCCAACTCACGGAATGACAAAAAGATGAATATAGTTCTGATCAAACTGAGTACAAAGAGAAGCGAAGTTACCATCACCAGCTCTTTATCATTAAATTCATGTCCCTTCGTTTTTATGATTTTGAATCACAGACAACCTTGTTCAATGTGATGGCTCCAGTTAAGCCAAATGCAAGCCTGGGGGGAGCCAGCACCTTGGTGTGGGGCAGGTCTGCCTGCAGAGCCCACTGGAGGTGTTAGGAGAGGAAGTGCCATTGGGAAGTCTGCCAGGAAGTCTTTCCACATCCTCTGCCCTCATTCTCCACAATCACTTCCTTCAACCACACAGGAAATATGTGGATGGCCTTGTAAGTGGAGCTCACTGCTACACAATCTCCATGCCACATGGCTGCAGTAGAGGTACAGAGTGACACTGGTCACATTGCCATCTTTCCAGTCCTGCCACTACAGGCTTTGCCCATATATCCAACAAAATGAGTTGTCATGAACACAGTTACTTCAAACATGACAAAATCCAATCTCAGTTTTCCTTTCCAATCACAGATGGCTCTCACAAGCTTTAAAAATAGTTATCCCGCTGTTGCAAACAAATATTTAACAGCTTAAATGGCACTTTGGAGCACATTACACTCTAAAAAGTGCAGACAGAAAAAAATATGACTTTGAGCTTTAAGTTTTAATTCTTAATCGTCTGTTCTTTACTGCCCATAAAAAGGGCTTCTTTAATCAACAGAATTCTGTTTTCTGCGACTGTGAGTCACAGGTTTATTTTACGATGGGGGAAAATCAGCCATTAAATTCTGGCTTCTGCCAACACTGCAAAGCCAATTAGACTTTAGCTTAATCATCGACACTGTCACAGCTGAATTCTAACTTCAGATCTTCATCATCTGTGATGAGAGTGAAAGGAGAGGAATTTCAGATCCCAGGGTGGAAGTTTAATCCAGCAGCGGGTAGAAAGGCCTTTTGGTATTGAAAGGGGATGAATGGCCATCTGACAAGGGGAGGAAATACTGGATGCCAGAGTCACACTGCCATCAATTCCCTACCGGCTACAGTTAGATAATGGCCACATCACTGGTTTATACACCCTGGATATATGTTAGCTGACATAAAACAGGCCCCAGTCACCTCTCAGGATGGGACTCTCTCCAGCGGAGACTGAGGATACAATCCACACCTTTGATTTCCCCTAAATCAAACCCTACACTCAGTTCCAGGGTGAGAGCTAGTGGTTTACGCAAAGGCAGGTGTCTCTCTGTCTTGCCTTACTTTTAGGGCATGGGATAAAGGCGACAGAAGAGGGATCATGGTTTGTTTCTTCAGGAGCTCACTGATATTAACACCCACAGGGAGGACTGTAGCTTATATGACCCTTCTCTTCCTGCAGACAGTAAGTGCTCAGTGGGCAGAGGGACCTTCTACAGTGCTCTCCCCCATCACAGATCAAGTGGTTCACGCACGAATGGGCTACATGCTTCCAGAGATCAGCATGTTCTCCCATGGACGAGCTCTTAGAACTGGGCAGGGGGGGATAAACTTCCTGGAGACAATCCAGGATATACGATTTTGACATAAACACACACCACACACTAAAGGCATCTGAGACATTGTGAAGCCATACAAACAACATTTATCAGCGTTTCATTCTATTTCCGACAAAAATACATTAAGTTTTCCACACAGTAACTCAGTTGCTGCGGTGGGACTGTTTAAGTAGTATGACCTACAACACAACTGGCCAGGGAGCAAATGCAAAATCACATACCCCCCACAATTCTGTTCCCAAGCCATGCAGCAAGCCACTCCCACAGCAACATGGGGAGCCACCCCCACAGCCACGAGGCCAAAAGCCAATGTGCCCAGCTCCCCACACAGGCACAGTAAAGAGCCACTGTTTAAAATTTCATTGTTACTTAGTCTTTATTTTCTGAATCCAGAAACCATATTTTGGACATGTGTTTACCATGTAACTATTTTAATATTTTGACAATACCTTTGCTTTATATTTTTTACTGCAGAGGTTCGAGTTGTTTATTGTTAAAAAGAAATTAAACAAAAATATACAAGGTTGGAAGTCAATCCCCCCCGCCACCACAGGAGATGACTGAATTTACTGAGTAATGGATGGGCTTAACTTTATAGATTGTACACATTTCTCCCTGTATCCAACAATTGTTGTAATGTATGGAATGATCCACACACTTTGTAAGAGAAAGGGAGGAAAAGATGTGCTTTTCATTCTGTCATTCAGAATTGAAAATGGACAGTGACCGCTTGAATTCGGGGGATGGACTATGATTTATAATGTAGGGAGACTGCATGTTTGGCTAACTGACACATCGCTGGTAGCATAGTGCCTATGACACTTGACTGCTAACCAGAGGCTGGCAGTTCAAACCCAACAGCCATTCCCTAGAAGGAAGGTTGGGCAATCTACTTCCACAGTGATACCACCTCAGAAACCCAAGGAGGGGTCGCTGAGTCACAGCTGACTTAATGGCATAACAACATTGACTGTCACGCAACAGGGCAGTTTCTCCAAACCAGGCTTCCCTGTACTTGGGCTAACTGCAATGATTTGTCATTGTGGTAGTTAAGGTTGTCTAGGCCTTGTTTTCAGTGACTAGACAGCTAGATGTAGCGATTTCCCCATGATGAGACTGGTAATCAACTCCATGGTAGAATCTACTGAAGCAGCTGAGTAGCTGCCTTAGGTATGTGCTCTGCTCCCAGTATATAAGGAGAGGTTTTGAGAAAGGTCTATGAGCTTTTGGGCACACATGGACCATGTATGTAGCCAAGTCTTCATTTAGCAGGCTACCATGTTTCCTGCCGATCTTAGGACTGTCTCCGGACTTGTACTGGTGGCCTGCCATGTTACTTGATAACACTGGGATTGTGCCATTTTACTTGTTGACCTTGGGTTTGTCAGCCTCAGCAGCCAGCAGCTGCCTGAGTGAAGAAAAGCCTCCAGCTTCAGTGGGCAGGGAGCAAAAGAGAGAGCGAAAGTCCAAGGTTGAGGGGCTTTCACCTAGTGCCTAGAGCTGGCACTTTGAACTCAGACTTCCAGCCTCCTTAACTGTAAGAAAATAAACTCCTGTGTGATAGTTGGAGCTGTGGGTCAACTTGGCTGGACCACAATTCTGTGTGGTGTAAGCTGTTGTGATGTGGTTATTCCCATAATGGGATCAGATGACTATGTTTTGAGCAGGCAATCTGTTGAAACGGAGTTTCCCTAGGGGTGTGGACTGCTTCCAGCATATCTATGGACAAACCAGAAAAAGATACATTCTTCTGTGGATCGGGATTCTTTTGTGCTGCCTACAACTGTCTGTGAGTGAATGATCCACCATTCGGCCTGGAGATCTTGGATTAGTCATTCGTTGGAATCAACAGCCAGTATACTGCCTGCCAACC